TTTGGTTATAAGAGGAGAACCTAAAATTTGGCAATTTATTCTGTGCTGTTCTGGAAAGTTATATCTTTAAAAGCCTACTACTTTGACAAAGCCAGGAAGACACTAAAATCCTTCTGTGTCTGGCTTTCCTTTGTGAGAAAAATGTGGTTTTAACTCAAATTAGCCCCAAAGATTCAAGAAATTGCTCATTGCTGCATATTAGACTCAGCTATTCACAGGCTGTCTCCACATTGTATTTTTTCATAATTCCACAGATCTTGGCATTTTTGCATGACACGTCTTCCTGCGTACTCTCTGTCAGTTAAGAACTGGGTGAACAGAACTCTGCTGCTGGAACAGCAAATTTCTGATAGCTGATGCTGAGAATCTGTGGCAGCTTTAGTAGATATTTAGAGGACTTCTGGTCAGGAAGATGCTAAGAATAGTAAACAATTTTATCAGAACCTCCAGTTTTCAGCAGCACAACAGCATGTCATCCTTCCTTGCAAGAAAGTTATGTATGCTGGGGAAACCAAGCGACATGGATTATCTCTTCCTCTACAAAAAAACCCCCACATTATTTTCTCAGAACGTTGTCAGAACCCAAGAGATTTGTACTTCTGTAATTATCTGGTGTGATCCTGCTCAATCTACGTTCTCTGAATAGGGTACTGTTTTGTTGCCTATAGAAGATTGCCAGAAGACAGCAAAATGGCAAAGGCTTTAAAGTCCCATTAGCGTGTGCCCCTTGAAGCTAGGCTGGTCATGGTCCTGAAGGGGTCAGCTGAAGTGATGGGCTGGTGGCTGCTGCTGTGGGAATGGGGAATTGATCTTCATTGTCTGCAAAAGGGCTGTTTCTCTCTGGCATCAGTAGGATCACTGTACCTGACTTTACAGGGTTTTCCCTCTAGTTCTGCCACAATTCTGTGCTTTTTTTTTGTTCTTGCCTTCCCTGCAGGATGAAAAGTTGCCATTCATTCATGTGATAGCAAAATTTGCTTTTGCCTGTGCTACTGAGAGTCTTTTAAGCTGACTCTGAATAATTTATTTTTTTTCTCCTGTATATCTCTGAAGCATTGATTGTTCCTTCTGAAAGAGGTGGTGGGTGTCCAGGGTAACAAGAGATTTAACATCTGTATGGTCACGATGAGGAATGTTTTTACTGCTAGGTGTCTTACTGAGTAGCGACTAGTCTTGTGATCTGGACTAATTGTCAGCAGTACAGGAGGAAACCAGCCCTGTCTGAGTCTCATCGCATAAAATCATCCCACTAATCCCGCTTGCTTTCAATAAAATCTTTTTGTAGCTGAAGAGCTATTAAAACTGAATTCAGAAGGGGGTTCTCAGAAGCAAACTGTTCCTGTGCCTTCTTTCTGTAGGTCCCATAGTAAGATGGTGTAATTTCTACTTCAGCAATTTGATTGCTTGCATCCAACATTTTTTTGGTCAGCTTTCTCTATCTAAGAAAATCTGTTTCACTGTGCATGTGATTATCTGACTTTATTTGTGATTTCTGTTATCTCTGGTAGATGACAGGGATGCCTAGGTTATTTGGGCATAGAAACAGCAACATTTAAAGTTGATTCCTGTGAAATCATGCATTGTGTCTGTTCAGCAGTACAAATACTTGCAGGAATACAAGATCTGTCCTCTTCTGTTTTAAATCAATTTCACAGTCTTGATCCTTATTATTTAAGATGTCCCCAGTCCCAGGATTTCTTAAGGGCTGGCTAATACTCTGGTGAAATCTGTTGTCAATAACAGCAGGCTTTTAGCACAACTTTTCACAGTAATGATAAAACTCATAATTGAATATGTATGAAAGCTGTAATTGTAAAGCATTATGCAGGAACAATCAGCAATAATAACTAAACGAATAATTCTACAACTGCTTCATACTTTGAATAACAGTATTTCCAAGTATGTTACCTGTAACCTAATGAAAGAGTAATAATATAAGCAAGTTATGATAAGAAATTGAGAAAGCAATGGAGCAACTTACATTGCATAACTTAGTGATTTTTATTTATTTTTTTTTAAATCACTGTTAAGAACTAGCTAGTAGATAACACTACTCACCACGGAAGAGGAAATTTAAATTGATATTAAGGATGTCAGAAAGTATGGAGGAAATGGCACCAGAAGAGACTGCAAATTTGAGTGGCAAGAGCAATGATTAAACTCAAACAGATCAAACTGAAATACAATTTCATATGTTCCATAGGTTGGGTTCCTAATAATCCTTAGTAGTTTAATACTGACATGTTATGATTCTTGCCCTGTGTCAGCATCTGTAACAGCAATGACAGTTGAAGCTGATGGACAAATAAATCTTAAGTCTAAATAAGTGATACCTGAACTCTTAAGTGAAAAGAGCTGGAGTAAACATGAACTTTACATAGCACTTGGAAAAGGACTTGCAAAATCATCTGTATGAAGAAGAAAGTTGACCAAAAAAAAAAGAAAAGAAAGAAGAGAATAATAGACAAATAATCTCATGTAACCTGTGAATGATGATAGTAAAGCTGTGAGTAAGAAGCCTGATGAGTTGTCAAACTTAATGTCAACTGAAGGTGCTTGTTCAGTGTTTGAAATTGTAGATTTTCAATATCTAAACCATACACACAGTTGTTATTGCCAGCTTACCTGGTGAATGTTCAAATTGAAAGTCCATCAAAATATGGACAGATATCATAATGCCTTCAAAATAGAAAGCCTTGCAAATATTTGATGTAATAAATGGAGTAACTTACTATAAATGCTACATCTGGGTTCACCAAGTTATTATGGCTGAAGTCACCCCAGAAAAGATAACCGAAGGCAAAACCGTTACTTCTGAACTTTTTGCATGTAGAGGGAAATGTGAAATGCCATAAGGATCTAGAAATAAACCAAAATCCTTCACTGTTCTAGTGGAGAGGGCTGGTTTAGATTCTAATTCAATTAGATGTAATATGCAGCAAAATTTGTATCTGTTACGGGATACCTACACTAACCTAATTTGGGAACGTCTGTCTTGTAAAGGAAACCCGAGTCCAGCATATTGATTTGCACCACTTCCAATGCAAAGTTTACGTTGCATGTGTAGTCTCAGTTTGAAAGATAAAACAATAATTGCAATCTCTGAAAACATCAGAGGCTCAACATAGAGAAAACTGAACATCGGTGTTGGGGTAGCAACTTGGTATACCTGTCTCTGTCATTGCTTGCAACTTACTCTGCTCTGTTTGGTTCAGGGAATCTCTTCTCTCTTTTTCCTCCCTTGCCGTTATGAGTAGACTGTAAATCTTTGAGAGAAGTACTTAAAAAACCAGCAAAATAGTTTAGAAACAGTTTTCTGGAACATAGGAACTTAGATAATGCCTTGTCATATTTGCAATGAATCCACTGCATCATTACAGTAAGTTCTAAAGGATCAGCTGCTTGTTTGCATGACAAGTTGTTCTCACTCTTTTCAAAATAATGTATTATAATCCAGTTTATATAACGTAATTCCTCTTTAAGAGATACATAGCAAGACCCCACTAAGGATCCATTCTGTTCAGCAGTCAAGAATGGATTCCCCTCACTCAGCCTTTCAAAGCATTGGCCCTATAGAGACACTCTGCTAATAGGGAAAATGGAACATGAACATTTTAATTTGGATTCCTTTTAGACTATAAACTCTTCAAGGAAGGCAGTTTCTATTAATGGATTACTTGTTTCAAGGAGGATCCATCCTGTTTCAAAATCAGGATCATGCAGATCACAGGCAGAACTGTTAGTGCTAGTGCTTTAAAATTACCTATTCATCCTAGTATTCAGGGATTTTTCTCTTTGAACAATTCAAACTTTATTATACTGCAGCAGTAGAAACTGGAGTTTTCTATGTCAGATGTCTACCTCTGGATAAAGGTTTTGGTTAATTAGAGTTGGGATTTTTTTGTTCACGGGGTTTTCATTTAAACTCAATCATCCCAGAAAATGAGGTTTAAT